AATTAATTTTTGTAAAACAAATAAAGATTTATTTAAGAGAATTTTTTTTGTAAATGTTAAAATGACAAATTAGCTATCTCACATTCTTTCCTATCCTTTCAGATTTACAAAAACGTATTTTTTAATCAAAAAAATGACATTCACATTTGAAAAAATGCCTAACTTTAAAAAAAATATAAATAAAAAAATTAATAACAACATTTAAAATGTTAGTGTGAGACTTTTTGAAATATCGAATTACAAAAGACAATTAGGAAACTAAAAAATAAAATTTTAAGCTTTTAACAAAAAATAAAAAAAATTACAGGTCTTAAAGAAAATACCAGCCGATTCTGAAAATATCTTACTGTTGGAAATGAAAAAAAATGTTCACTTTTTTTCAAAAAAATCGAAAAACCCCCAAGTTGCGTAAAAATAGTTCTGATTGTTTTTTACAAGATTTTACTAGACAGAATCAAAAATGACTATTTTTATCTTTTTCGAGACACAATTATTTAGCAAAATATCGTTAAAAACAACAAATGCGAACAAAACCGGCGTTATTTTGCCCTTTTCAAGGGTTTAAGCACGTTTTGGATATAAAACAAAGAAAATTCTAAAAATTTTGTTGAAGCAGGCTAAAAAAAAGTTTTGCTCGAATTTTTTCGTTTTTAGAACGGAGGCTCATTTATTTTGCAAAATCTTGAACAAACCCGCTTAAAAATCTCAAAAACAATTGATACTGATCTTATTTTGTTTGTTTCAATCAATTTAACTAATTTTTGAGGAAAATTAAGACAAAAATAAGCCGAGAATGTTTTAAGCACGTTTTTGTACTACAATTTCAGGTTTTTTTGGGACTTTTTGTTGTAACGAACTGAAAAATGAACATATTAAGTTGAGAATTACACGTTTAGCACGTTTTTCAGCTAGAAATGGCAAAGTTTGTTAAAAACACGCTAAAAAACACAAAATTAGACCGAAAATGATATTTTTTTTCAAGAGTTCAAGCAGATTTTTAAGCTGAAAACAAGATATCACTAAACAGAGTCGAAAATGAGAACTAATTTTGTTTTTTTCGAATATGCTTTTTCAGCTAGAAACACAATTTTTTGCAAAATTTTGTCAAAAACAAGCCACAAAATTCAACAAAATAGCCCAAAAACGGCATTTTTTGTATTTTTGAAAGATAAAAACACAAAAATTTGAAATTGAAACAGGCTTAAAAATTACAAAATTAAATCGAAATTGATATCATTTTTAAGCATTATTTTGCAAAATCTTGTCCAAACACGTTTAAGAATCAAAAAAACTGGTTTTTGAGCAAAATTAAGACAAAAATAAGCCGAGAATGTTTTTAGCACGTTTTTCTACTACAATCTAAGGTTTTTTGGCGACATTTCACTAAAACGAACTGAAAAATTAACATATTAAGTCGAAAATTACAATAATTTTGCATTTTTTGATAAGTTTTGGCACGTTTTTCAGCAAGAAACACAATTATTTCGTCAAATTTTGCTAAAAACAAGCCAAAAAATCACAGAATTATAGGCCGAAAAGTACGTCATTTCTACTTTTTCAAGCTGAAAACTGCGTTTTTTCGTCAGGTTTTGCCACACAAATCGTATTCTGGTGAAAATTTGATAAATTTTTCAACTCGGATTTGGTGAATTTAATGTTTTTGATCTGGCAACACTGAACTAAGAAGCAATATAAAATGATAAGTTATAGGGGTGGGTGGTTTACTGGTGGAGAGCGATAAAAACATGTTTTAATTAACTTTTTTTTCTTTTGAAGGGTGAAAAGTAATTTAATACAAAAGAACAAAAAAGAATTCACGTATGACCAAACAAATATAAAGGAGTTCTGCAGTCACAACGTGAGGAAATCTTACACCTATGCGCCCTCTCTTGCAAAATTTCAAAAGTACCTTCTCAGGCCTAGCAGATTAATAAACTAAAATAAACTATTTTCTGTTTCAGTACTGGAATGACATAATTCTTATTCAACCCTGCATTTTCATCACAATTGTATAATGACTGATACCAACCTGGATATGCATATATCAAAATTTCCATAAAAAGAAGAAAGTAATGTTCTTCGAAATAAAAATGGAATCGTAGTTTAAAAAAAAAAGGTTACCGAATGGTTTGTTGAGTTCTGTATACCCTTTTGCGTTTGGGTTAGAGTTAATAATAAAAATTTTTGTAAACCAATCTTTATTAAAACTTTATTTAAAAATATTTCACAATAACGAAAATCATTTATTTATTTTTCCTTTCGTTCATCCATTTTCGAATTTCCTCAGCTAATTCCGTATTCGGTATAACTTGATCCATTGACAAGGGTGCACGATTAAAAGGATCAGTTTGGTCGCTTAAAAGATGCCTGAAAAAAAAAATTTAAATAATGACAACAAGATTCAATTTCCCCAAACCTGGCAATAGTAGTACGATCAACCGTTTGTTTTGAACTGGGTAAAATCACAGGATCGGTCATAAGAGTAGACATAATAGGATCCAAGAAATGTTCAGGCGCCTCGGCAATCGCCTCTTCACTAGCTTGCTGTTCTTGCACTTTCTCAGCAACACGCATTGCAACTTCTTTTAATTCACCAATAAGAGACCCTCCACCAATCCGAATTAAAACATCCTCAGCTAAAGTAAACAACTGGGGACTATAAGAACGACCATCCTGGGAAATAGCCAAACAAAACGAACTACTTTCTTTCAAATTGACATAAATCTTGCAAATATTCAAAACGGTTGTTGCTGGATCAAAACTATACTCTTTCGAATCTTTCACCTAGAAAAATACAAACACTAAGAGAAGAATTTTAGTGTTTTATTACAAAACCTTGAAATTTTTTTTCTTAGGACCAACTAAATTGTATAAGAAATAATTGAGCATAGCTGCGACACGATCGACCATTGTAGAATGTGTAAAAACTATCGTTATTTCCGACGTCAATTTCTCCAAAGTTTTAATCGTGTCCCTCCCCAAAATATTATCAAATTTTGCAATCATACCAATATGATGCATGTAACCCAAATTTTGAGTACGTTCTTGAGCCGGTAACGAGTCCCATTCACCATTTTGACGCGCTGTTTGCATCTCTTTCAACTTTGCCATATTGGTAAATGCTTCATCCAATAAATAAACCGCATCGTTCATTAAAAGATTGACAAATCGGAGAAATAGCGGAGGTGTCATTGCGTCCATATTTTTCTCGGCTTCCTGAGCCAAAATCCTACAAAAATAACAACAATGAAATAATTTTAGAGCAAAACTCACTTAAAATGTGTTTTAAATTCCTCCTTGGTCCACAAATAGTCCATCACTGTGTACATAGGACGCCTGTAATTGAATTTTTGTTCAAATTCGACGCTTTGTCCCGTCATTTCAATCCCAACAAACACTTTCAACAAACTGCTCACAATCTAAAAAACTAGTTGTAATAATTGTAATAATTTTTTTTTAAACTACCTCACTTCGATGTTCGTGTTGGGTAAACAACATTTCGCGTTGGAAGCCCCCAAATGCGTTAAAACTCGATGGTTCGTCATCATGACGTGGTAAAAGAGACTCTAATGCCTCTGCAAGTCTTGCTCTCACATGGGGGTTTCTCAAACGTTCCGGTGATCCCATATAAATCAAAATAAAATCCAATAACGGTTTCAATTTTTCGTATCCTTGCTCTTCAAAAATTTTCGGATTAAAACGTCTCAAAAACACCAAATAACATACAATATTTTCAATGATAAATTCTGGAATGCTTCTGCAATTATTTTAGTAAAGTCGCGCTTTACCAAAATTAAAACAACTCACTTTAGGCTATTTGGAATAATGTCAGGTAACGGAAAACAAATTTGTAATTCGTCTAAAGGTGCAAACGTTTTTTGTTGATCGAAATTGACTTTAACAGCGACTTGACAAAGCCAATAAGTGGATGTTGATACAAAATCGAATAATAAATTTAACAAAACAGGATCCGATAATTGGGCTTTCAAGGATAAATATCTGAAAAATTTGTTCAAATAAAGGTCTTATTGGTGAAATTTCACCAGATCTGGTGAAAACTTTTGAAAAAATTCGAATTTCTGGTGATTTTTTAGAAACATGGACTGCAGTTCGAGCAGAAAAAAATTCTATCTGTCAAAAAATTTTGACATTTCAATTTTTTTTAAGTCTATTTAATGATACTGATGATCTAGCATGTTTTTTTTATAATTATTTACTAAAGATACATAAATTTTGTCAATAAAACTTCAAATAACACTAAACAGAATTACAATTTAGGATACAGCTTCTTTGTTTCTTCTTCTAATAGCCTGTAGGAAAAAAAATTATTTTTCCAACAGAAATAAATAGTCAAAGTGCAAAATTTAAACTCTTATAACTTCGAAATATTTATAGATAGAATTTTTTAAACATTTTTTCAGTACTCTGGGAGACTACCCAAATACTCCCTTTCAAGGAGGTGCGCTATTTTTTAAACAGCCTGTATATTAAAATAATTTTTATAAATCGAGTATTCCCCCAAATGTTGAACAATCAAAAGATAGTTTTGTTTTTCTAAATGATAACAAGATAAAAAAATCGCTAAAATGGGTCAAAAAGTACAGTTTTTTGTCCATTTCTGAGCGTTTTGGTAACAAACCAAAATTTTATCAAATTAGGCCAAAAATAGTGTTATTTCTGCCTTTTTAGAGTGTTCCAGTGTGTTTTTCATAAAATTAACTGAAAAATTACGAAATTAGATTAAAAATTGATATCGTTTTAGCGTGTATCGCTCGTTTTAGTTCGTTTTTGAATCAGAGACTCATTTATTTTGCAGAATATTTGTGAAAACATGCTAAAACACAACAAAAATTAATCTAAATTGATATTTCGTTTTTTCATTCGATTTAGCTCTTTTTGAGTAAAATTTTAACAAAAAAAAAAAAAGGATAAAATATATTTGAACAGATTTCCACAATTTAAAAACGTGAATTTTCGACAGTATTAGAAAAATTTAAATCTTGTAATCTGGTAACTTTTCAGCCAGATCTGGTAAATTTAATGTTTTAAGGTGACAACACTGGTCTTATTACTTGGTCAGCTGTTGAGTCATTCTTCTTTTTAAACTATCAACTAAATCGCTATTTCCTGCCGCTTGTGCCACAGCATCCAAATAGGCCCGTTCCATTCGCCCCACTTCCTGTGAAAAAATTTAAATTAATTTCAATTTTTCATTTACCAAAAATTTCTTACGTGGTTTAAGCGCACCAATTTATCCACAGTGACTTGATAACCCAAATTAATAGCTTTATGTGCAAAATAAAAACACTCTGTTACAAAATTGTACTTTTCAGCAGTCACCAACTTTTCATCATTTGGGATTAAGCAAGTTTCAGTATTCATACCAGGCAAATGAACACCTTTTTCAGAACGACAATCATCCTGTTTTAAACCAATAAAAACAACTCTCTATTCATTAATAAAACTTACAGAAACTGCACAATAAGTAGGATCAACTTTTAGTATTTTTTTGTCCTTGAAATTGTTGCAAAATGGTCGACATAGTCTCAACATGACATTCCCAAAATTAATCATAAAACCATCAGAGACACTTGTATAATTGACAAGATTTAATTCAGGTGGTGACTGAGAATTCCACAATTTGCCTCTATCTATGTTGGCTTTTATACAAAGTCCTAACCATTCCAGAGTTTTGTTTTTGATTTGGGGACTACAAGTTAACAAACTCAGGACAAAAGCATGTGTGTGTTCTGTTAGTTTATCAACATTGCTCCAAAGTATTCCTTCAGCTGAAAGTATACTAGCCTAAAACATCACAATAGAAAAAAAAATAGTTGAAATGCTTGAAATACTTGATCAGTGGGGTCCTGGAAGTGTTCATAAATAGCATTAGGGGTTTTTGGTAAGATTGAAACATTGAAAATGGCCCCTAATGGAGTATTTGCGTAATCTGAACCAGTAATAAACTTCAAAGGTTTCACATCTAGAAAAATGCTGGCTAAATATTCCTCAGTAGTGAAAACATTCAAAACATTAAAAATGCCATAGTCAAAAGTGACGATATTTGATTTAATTATTTCATCAGTCAACACCAGTAAAATTTCTGATAGTTTATCTTTAAGGAAGGCTTCACCTAAAACAATTATAGTCAAAACAAGTTTAGCATTTGCTTCAAGATACCTCCTTCTTCTTCATCTAAAACTCCCTTGCACACATCTTTAAAAAAGAGGATACAATTATCAATGTTATCTTTGAGAATATCAATCAATTGCTGTTCTAATTTTTGACCTTCGTAGATTTCCGACTGTATGAGAGCCGTCACAGCGTTTTGAATAATCAACGACTTAACTTTAGCTTTTTCTTCACTTTCAAGATTCGTGTCATCGTTCAAATTCCTGACGCAATTGCACAGATAAGTGAGCACTTTCGACTCAAACGAATGCGTGTTCCTGAAGTTCTTTTTGGCAGTTTTTATGAATGGATTCTCCTCATTACACATAAATAAACGATCAAATAAAGCATGTTGCAGAATTAATAGATCAAGATCTTTCCGGCTAAATGTGTTTGCCACTTCCTCCAGCAACAAAAAGTGCTTCTTTTCGCTTACTTTCGGGTCTAAAGTAAATGCAAAAATCTCTTCCAGGATACTGCTAATACTTTGTTGTTTTTTTGTCGAATTGTCTGATTTCACAGTGGATTCTTCTATTAAAGCTGCAAACGGGTTAAAATCTGACATCTTGACACACACGAAGCGAAATTACAACAAATGTTATTTTTTAAAACGCATTTTTAATGTGAAAAAATTTTGCACATCACATTTGACGTTTTGTGACAGATGACACAATACGTTGCTCTCCAAATAAAATCCCTAGATTTTGTAACTAATATAACCTCGAATTCGAATATGTTATTTTGTTCATAATGTTATAATCGTGCTTTTTATTTATTGTGTAAAAGTGTTAAAAGTACAATGAGAGTCACTCTTAATTTAAGCATGTTTTTTCATGACCACCGGTCTTTGGCTAAAATTTTCATAAACAAAAACATGAAATTTATAAAAGATGTTGAAAATCACATAACAAACATTTTCGGGATTAGAAATTTTTTTTTAAAGTGTGAAAACCAGTATTTGCCACCGGTTGAAGACATTCAAATATTGAACAATGATGAAGTGATTTGGTGAGCAATTTATTCTATAAAAAAAATACTTTATTATTTTCTTCAATTAGGGCGCTTCCATGTGATAAAACCACAATTGTTCCATGTGCCAATTCCACACTTAATGTCACTAGAGAAGAAGAAAGACCAAAAGTAAAAAACAAGAATTATCAAGGTGATGAAACAATGGAAGTTGAAGATATCCCAGTGATTCATAAAAAGAAGAAAACGAAGAAGAAACACCGTGAAATTGAAGAAGAGTTAGCTGAGCCTGAAACGAAAAAGAAAAAAATTCGTGATTCTGAAAAAAATTGTCATGAAATCGAAACTGAGTCTGAAAACAAGAAGAAAAAAGGAAACGAAAAACAGCGAAAGAAACGTAAAGAAAACATTGTTTCTGAAAGTACGGGAGAATTAAACCAAGAAGAAAACGATAATAGTTTTACTAAAAATGAAGAAAAATGTAGTAGTGTTAAATCACTTGTTGACAGTTTTGAAAAGAAATCTGTTAATTCCTGTACTAAGAAAAACCACCTCATTATAGATAATTCAACAGAAAAACGAGTAAATATTGTGAAAACAATAATAGTATCAAATGGAAACATCGATGTGTTCAAAGATGAACATTTACATGACACAAAGGTGCATAGTAATAATTTAAATACAGAAAACAATACAAGTGTAGACGATAATACTAGTGTTACAAGTAATGTAGACACTTCAAGCCTTGATATGTGTCAACCCCGGAAAAGGAAACGAATTCGTCGTCATAAAAACAAGAAAAATTTTGATCTTCTCAAGAAACTAGATCTTACCCCTTTTGTAAAAATACCAGAGCCGACTTCTATAGTCAACTTTAGGCCCCTCGAAGTAGCTCCAGTTCATCTTAGGTTTGACGAAGAAGTTTCAAACAAAAACGAAATAGAGATGAGTACTGAAAAAGAAGAAAAATGTGATGTGATTACAAAAGCAGGTCCTGAAAAAAATGAAATAGAAGTAAATGAAGACTTCATTTCTAGTCATATTATAAATTTAGATGAGCCTTTTGACGAAGAAAAAATAGTCAAGAGCATATTGCAATTTCCTATTTTTTCAGGAGAGGAACCTAGAATTGGGGACGTGGTAGCGTTCAAGGTAACTAAATCACTTAATCAAATTGCAAGAATTTGATAAATTTTTTGGTAGATTCTTCGGATTTCTGAAAATTATACACCTGAAGTATCGTCCTGGATAGTAGGCAAGGTTCTAAGCTATAAAAACAAGGAGGTTATATTTGACATTCTCTGTAAGCTGCTTTTTTTTAGTTTATTTATAATAATTTGAAATTGCAGATGGGCAAAATCAATGTTTAAACCCCAAAGGCAAGTTTTGTTTAGAACCCGAAGAACCACAGGAACAAAACAATGAATTCAATTATTTCTGGCAGAATTTATTTGAACCGAGGATTATATTTCCTTGACAAAAACTTCAACTAAACAAAACGTAATCAATATTTTCTATTAAATGAAGCGATGATAAATTATTTTCGAATTCTCCGTTCGTAAGATTCTAAAATACATTTGTTAAACCAAATCATTGTTTTTTATAATCACCTACAATTTTTACACAAATCACAAAGGGAGGTTCAGCGTCTTTAAAATGTAAAATATCGACAGATCTTCCACTTTTTCGAGTATCACTATTGAACGGTGTGTAAATTTTACCAACTTTCTTTTTATCAACATCACACAAAGCCGTGACTTTTTTCTGCGACTCAACTGATAATGAATTATACAACTTGCGGCCTTGTTTTCCAGCGTTCCAAATTGTGAATTTCGGCCAGTTGTGTAGTACCACATGTTCCAATCTCTCCAATCTGATTTTCCAAATTGTGGCCCTACAAATAAAATTATTTTAAACAAAATTTAAAAACTTCTATACCCACTCCATGACTGAAAATGTGGTCGCACTTGGGTGGTAAGTGTAGATTAATAGACACTGATTGACTCTGTACACTTTTCCGCCCAAATCTAAATGTTTGTAGAAAAAAATCAAATCTTCAGGAGTACCCTTTCCTTGTTCTGAAAAACCTCCAATTCTGAAAAATGAAACGCTATTAAAAATACAATCATTTTTAATTCACCTTTCGAATACTGAGCGGTGACAAAACCACGTGGGCATAATTACGGTGGGTCCATGGGAGGTATAAATTTGTATATGAAGTTTTTCATCTGGTAGAGAATTTGCCCATTGTGTGTAGCGATTTGTGGAGTTTTCAGGCACTCTCTTGAATTGTGAACCAACAATCTAACTTGGGATTAAAAATAGAAGAAAACTGTAATAAAACACTTACTGTATCACGTGGTAAACTCCTTGCTTTCTCATATTGCTCTCTTATCCTGTTGGGTAACATCACATCATCCTAAAGCACTCTTTGGAAGGTATATTTTACAATAAATACTTACTATATCTTGAAAACACAAATAAGCCCCATTGCTAATACCGACAGCCCTGTTTTTTGAATAACCAACGCCTTTTGGTGTTCCAGATTCATTGTTAAAAACTTTCAATTTGATTTTCTTTTGGTTGAAAATATGAACCCATTTATGTAAAAATAGAACAGTGCCATCATCTGAGGCATCATTGCAGACACACACTTCCAAAAATACGTCTTCTCGAAGTTCCTGTTGTAAAATTGAGTTGAAACATTGATCAATCCATGATGACCCATTGAAAATAGGAACAATAACACTCTGTAATAATCTTCTATTAGCAAAATAATAACAAAGAGTTACAATTACATACAATTAATACCTGTGGTTCTGAAGACATATTATTATTAAATTTAAAAGAAATCACTACATTTTTAGTTTGGTTATGTTACCCCTCGAAAACAAAATATTAAATCTCTAATCTAATTGGTTGAGGATATCACATGCTACAGTCACTACCTCACAAGCGTTTTCATTGGTTGATTCGCTTGACAGGTGGATCAACAGCACAACTTAAATATTCCTAAAACGTTAAATAAAATAAAACAAGAAATTCTTAATTTGAGTACTTGATAAGTTTGTAAACAAAGAATTATGAATTACAGTAACGTTTTTAATTTTCTGCATTACAATTTTTGCAACATTTCGTTCTTACTTTGTTGGTGAAATCTAGCAGATTCAAATCTGATTGGATGAATGTCAGAAATTTGGAAGATTTGATTGGCTGTGAGGGAAAAAGCCACGCTGCCAATCAGAAGCAAGCATTTTGACGTCATGTTAGACGAAAAAAATGATGAACGTGGAATTGGGTAAAAAATTGTGACGTGGCAAGTGTTACGAAATTGTTTTTGTGAAAATTATTACAATAACGAGTCAGTCTTAGCCAAGTTTTCGCACGAATCACTTGTCCGGATAAATTATTACTTATTATTTGAAATGGGGGCTGTATACAGTGCGTGTGTGTTGTGTGTTGTGTGTTTTCGAGTGTTTAATAAACATTAAGTAGTGCACGATTTTTTAAATTTCGAGTGATTAGTGAGTGCCAATGGGGGAAAATGTAGAAGACAATCGTGCTACAAGGGTCCGGATTAAAGGGTAAGTCAACTTTTAATTTTTAGAAAAATTATTTAAATTCGATTTAAAATTTTCAACTAATTAATTACACATTGAACTGATTTTGTGTTTCTTTATTTTCAGTAGGTCCGTGTAAGAAGCAGAGGCGAATTGAAGAAGATGCCATAAAGGTCAGTGTATTTTAATTTTTAATTTTTTTTTTGTTTATTGCAAAGTGAAGTGTCTGAATTTGTGATTTTTGAGTGCAACAGTAAGTATTTATGAAATTATTACTAGAAATTAATTGTATTTTAGAGGAAATGTATATTATTTCCCAAATTCTATTTGAAAACGAGTGCACTACCTCACAAACGTTTTCATTGGTTGATTCGCTTGACAGGCGCATCATCCACACAATAAAAATATCCCTAAGACGTAAAATAAAATAAAACATTAATAAGAAATTCTTGTGTGTAGTTGATAAGTTTATAGATTAAGAATGTCTTTAGTAATGCCAGATTAGAGAATTTTATTCTAGTTCTAGAAATTTTTTTAACAAAAGGGAAAAAAAGAGGTTTTTTAAAAATTTTTCAATAATCTAGGGATTTTTAAATTTTTGATAAATATTTCAGTCAAACTCTTAGAATTAAAAAATCTCACATTTTATATAAATAAAAATTAATAAACATTTTTGAAAATATCAACATCTTTGAGTTTTTTTGTATTCTGCAAACACACATTTGGCATATGCAAACTAATATTCACGATAAAAAAACAACAAAAACTACATCGTTTTGCATTACATAGATTTGCATACAAAATTTAAATGTTTAATTTGGTTGTTTCTAAAATATTATTTTAGTTTTTTTTATCTGGGCATTATTTGAGTCCAACTGATTCCCGTTGAAAGAAAATTGTTCATTACGGCCCTGATTTGGTTTAAATTGTTCTAAATTTTACACTGATTGTCAATAAAAAACCAGTCTGTCGAATTATGTTTATGTGTATAAACATTTCAAATTTTTTTCGAAGAATAAAGGCAAAAACCGCTAAAAACGACTCGAATCGGTATTTTTGAATCAAAAATTAAGCAACATACAAATTTAGTACACAATTCACAGTATTATGTCAATCTTCAAAAATGTCACATTTTGAAAGTTTGTACATTTATTTATCCTTTAAATAATTATTTTTTAGGCTGAAAATAAAATCAAAGATTTTTAAAGTTATTTGAATTTAAAAAAATTTTCTTGTCGAAAAATCTAAGACGTGGTTCTGATTGGTTGATTTTAAAAGACGTAATTGATTGGCTAAGGATCGAAAAATGACACTCAACTATAACGCATTAAATAATTTTTTACTTTTTATTGGTCTAATAATCTAAAGTGCATGATTTATATTGGCTTTGGGGATGGCTCCACCCATTTTGCAAAATTAAATCCAATTAAAGTAAGATAACACACTAAATGCTGATTTGTTATAAAAATTCCATTCAAAATTCAATAATTATTCAGGATTTTTTAAATGGGTGGAGTTACTTATCGTTGTTAGGTTTTTGTCGGATTTTGGCCAATAAGAAATAAAAACCGGTTTGTTCTCACCTTAGTGGTAATTACGTGAATGGGAAATGATTATTATTGGTCCATGTAATCGGAATTAATAAATGTATCCAACCAATCAAATTCAAGATTTTGCAAAAACCTCACAAAAAAAACTGTTTTAATTCAACTCCAATTAGCTTGAAAAAAACGCAAAAATAATAAATTTAAATTAATTTTCCAATTAGCCACAAAAAAATTATTGATAGATAAGGGACTATTTCGTCATTTTTTTTTCTCAGTGGATTCAAAAAAAATACAGATTAAAGATTTTACGACAAAAAAAATTTTCGCCTGATTTTCATTGCCATTGTCGCGAAATGTCAACAACTGTCAGAAGTGTCAAACTGAATGATTGAAATCCAACGCACTCTTAGTGATTTTTTTTAAAACGTTAATTTAGGCACTTTTAGACCTTTTTTCTCTATGAAACTCTACTACTTTGTAGAATTGTGATTGAATTTTTGTTTTTTACTCTCACTCAATCTCCACCTTTTGCCGTTTTCCACTTTTAGTGCTTCCAGGAAAAAACAATTGCTATCGCGTGACAAAGATGGCTAAATTAACCTTTTTAACGGGTGTGAAAGCGTTCAAGCTATTACGTTTTAGTAAGGTAATAATTACAATGACGTTTTTAATTTTTTGCTCACATGCCAATTTTTGTGCTTCATCAGCATGGTGATTTTATTGTTGTTGTGTTGGTGCTCCCATTGCCATTCTTTTGTTTACAAATGGCAGAATAAATGTCAAACTTGTGATTTAAATGCATTTAAAATAAAAATGATTTTCTCACGTAGATATGGGCAATATATGCTGTTGTAAAAAACGGATGAAAAGGTAAGTCGTTAGAATCGTGACTTGTTTGATGTTATTTTTCCGAAGGAAAATCGTCTTGTTATTGGTGGGATTGGATAATGCTGGAAAAACTGTTGCAGCAAAAGGATTGGCGGGTGAATCGGTCGATTCAGTTGTCCCAACTGTAGGCTTCTCTGTTGTTAATTTAAGCTACCATAACTACATTGTTAAAGTGTTTGATTTAGGAGGAGGCCCAAACATTAGAGGGATTTGGCACAAATATTTCGTTGATGTATGTTTATTAAACCCCAATTAATTTACTAACAATTGAGTTGTAGGCCCACGGTGTGATTTTTGTTGTTGACTCTAGTGATATTTCACGTCTTGATGAAGCAAAAGATGTGTTAGGAGAGCTCTTATCACATGAGAAAATCGCAAGAAAACCGGTGTTAGTTTTAGCGAATAAACAAGACAACGAAAATGCTTTAGATGAAGTCGATATTATCGAAAAATTGGATTTGGAAGAAATCGTAAACGGGAATGAATGTCCCACTTTGGTGGAAAGTTGTTCAGCTGTGGAAACACCAGGGAATTTGAGGATTGATCCAGGGATTAAGAAAGGATATGAATGGTTGTTGAATTACATTGTTCGAAATTACGAGATTTTAAATAAACGCGTTGAGGAGGATGTCATGCAACAAATCGCGTTAGAGAATCGTTTAAGAATGGAGAAAATCGAAAAAATCCGGGCTTTAAAAGAAGCCGAATTGAAGCTGAAACAACAGGATGATGACGCTATTGAATCCTACTCTAATTACGAGAGGAAAATGAATGGTCAATTACAGGAACAAGAATCAGATGTTAGCGAAACTTCGTCAGACTCATTCCCTCCAGTTTATCACGTCAAGGACGAGATATTACTCGAAAGGCCCAAATCGGCGGTGCAAATTATAAGACAACAGTTAGAATTGAATGCGCCTAGTAAAAAGTCCTCGTTTATTTCACGAGCCTCGAATAAAACAGCCCCTTTACACCTCTATGGTATCCAAGTGCCTCGATCAGCATCAGCAGAGAGGAGAAAAATCCTTGAGGTGCAACGACGACATCTGAAATCGGCAGGGGATGCCCCTTTCAGACTCACTGAATTACCAAATGTGCCTATGACAAGTGGTGATGAGTTTCATAATGAAATTTACGATTTGATGAATTTTGATAAGAAAAACGGTTGGTTTCACAAAACCAACAATGGTGATATAAACGGAATAAGTGTTGTCAATGTAGATTTGTAGTTTTAGCACAATCTAGTCGTAAGTTTTTAGTCTATTTTTATATGCACTAAGCACTTATTTATATTTGATAAGAAACAAGAATTGTATTTACAATATATTATGAAAACGAGCCATATTTACCGAAATTGGGATTTATTCAAGGTGAATAACGGAAAAATAATGTTATACGGGGTGCCTTTATATCTGAAGGAGCAAAAATAGGCAACACATTATACATTTCATAAAGTATTAACTATTTTAAATCGAATTATGATTATTCACACACACTTCAGGTGTATAATTTTCAGAAATCCGAAGAATCTACCCAAAAACTTATCAAATTTTTGTAATTTCATTAAACGATTTTCTAGGTTCCTCTCCTGAAAAGATCAAAAGCCTCATCTAAATTTATAATTCGCATTTTTTCAGGACCCGGTTTTGTAACCACATCACATTTTTGTTCATTTTCAGTACTCATCTCTACTTCGTTACTATTTTTAAACACATCAGTGTTTCCATTTGAAACTATTATTGTTTTCACAATATTTATTCGTTTCTCTGCTGAGTTATCTATGAAGTGGTTTTTCTTAGTACAGAAACTAACAGATTTCTTCTCAAAACCGTCAACAAGTGATTTAACACTACTACATTTTTGTTCGTTCAAACTATTATCGTTTTCTTCGTGATTTAATTCTCCCGTAGTTTCAGAAACAAAGTTTTCTTTACGTTTCTTTTTTTGTTCTCTATAGTTGAAGCTCCTTTGAGATCAAAAGTGTCGCTTTTCTTCTTGTTTTCAGACTCTAAATTCAGAATCAGGCCTACTTCCATTGTTTCATCACGTTAAAAATTCTTTTTGTGTGGTTTCATCACATTGAGGAAAATAATAAAGTATTTTTTTATACATGGTGCCCATTTTATTTGTTCTGAAGGAGCAAAAATAGGCCACATATACATTTCATAAATTATTTTGTGTAAAGTAAATTGAAATAATCAGTCGGTGCTTGACTATCGAACTCAATGGGAACAACAGCAAGAAATTAAATTATTGTATTATTGGTTGCCTATTTATGAAATTTAAGGGGATAAAATTAAAGGCTAACTTCAGTCTACAAAAGTTTAAAGCAATTTTATTAAATTTCTAGTACTTTTTGGCTTTAGTATACATAGTTAGGGACTCTATAAAATAAAATTTATCACTATCATTCCAACAAGAAAAATCTTCGTCCTATGAGAAGAAGTATCACAAATACGATGACCCACACAACGACATTGAATATTTGGTCTCTTAAAATGTCAATTAAAAAAAACATTACAAGGTTGCACAATACTTACACAGTACTTGGATTAATTGAAACTTCCGTTTCCATTATAACATCCGCAATGGGTTCATTTATATTTTCAGCACTTTGGGTGTTTATTGTTACCCTCTGTCTAATATTAGTCTCGTCAGAGGATTTCTCTTTTCTGTTTGCATCTTCCTCGGCCTTTAACAATTTTAAAAAATTTTTGATTCCAACTTGTCGTTATTTTACCTTAAGCGCAATTTGCTGTATGAGGGAAGCCTCTTCCTGGGTAATGTTTGAAGATTTGGATTGTGAAGAAAGAGTCTCTGCAATTTTACCACAAATTTGACATTCCCAATTAATCGATTTCTTGGCTAAAATCTGTCTTTCTTCTGGGGTGTAGTCCAAAGAGCCAATAGTACCAGCTGCAGGAGTAGGCATGAAAGCAATTAAGGCCAACAAAGCTGTTCTTATCGACCACGAGGGTTGCCAACTCTCCGGGTGATGCCCCGAAATAGACAAACAAATTTTTTTGTTCACTTCAAACCGTCCATTTGGCTGTGAATTTATTATTATTAATGAACAACACTGTATTATACTAACTGTTAACAGGATTATATTAGGGGGTTGCATGGGATACTGCGAGGGTAAAAGAATACGTCCATGGTAGAACCCGCCCTCAAATTCGGTATTAGGGGGGCCTCGCACTGTGAAATGCCATTCAAATAAATTGTCTTCTAAAGGGTGGGCAAAATACTCTTCGGTGGGTTCGGCTAACTCTCGCGCTTCGCGCATAAGACGTTTCACTCCTGTGTGATAGAAATGTGTGACAATTTCTTGAAATGGAATTCTTACCTGGGCTTTTTAGGTTATACTTATTTTCTAAAGACATGCTTCCACTAAACAGAACTTTTGTACTCAAATAACACAGAAATATTTAAAAACTGCCGAAATGTGTACAAAAACTTGTCATGTTTCTTGTTTAGGCGAACTGTCAAAACAATCAGCTGATTCTGCAAATACAAACGTGGACTTTTATTTGAAATTATGCTGTGGCTCACCGAGATTGGCAAATTGTTTATCAGGCACTTAAAAAGTTGTTAAATTTTTAGATAAGTGTTTATTTTTATTCACAATCGCCAGTTTAAAATGATTAAGGTTAGGAAATGATTTGACAGTTGTATACAACGTGTCTCGGAAATAAAAACTACCAAAACACTTTTAAGTAAACTGAACGCCTTGTTAAATAAAAATTCTAAAATTTCAAGGGTCAAAATGCCCAAAAATATCGATGGCACAAAACAATTTTGTTGTTCTTGAGATCTAACTCTTTAAAATTAATGCACTTATTTCTAAGATACGTTGTATATTGATACAAAATGAACGTGGAATGAAGGTTCCGTTTTTACCGGCAAAAATTCAGAATGTACTTTAAAAATTCATTTTATTTAGTCTAATTCTGTAATTTTTTTGGATAGTTTTTAATTAAATTTTGCAAAATACGGGGTGACAAAAATCTATTGGCAACGCTGAATTAGTGATAATCCTTCTAAATTTGTTATATCAGGTGACGGCTAAATCAGCAAATGAATGACAAAAATTGCCTATAAAAGCACAGATAAAAGTATGACGTTTGAATTTGAAAGTCAAGGTTGCCAAATTAAATTTTAAATATGACACCAAATCATTTATATTTATGTTTTTATTTGAAAAACATGCTAAAACACTTGATAAAAGCTAAAAAGTCTTAATTTGATGTTTTTTTTTGGTTTGTTTTAGCAAAATCTTGCAATTAACACCATTTTCGACCATATTTTGTATTTTTTAAATAAAATTTCAATAACAACAATTTTTGAAATAAATGGGTCTTTGATAAATAAAACTCTGAACTAATATTTTTTTCAATTTAATTTTCCATAAAAGTGGTTTACTCAAACACTTGATTGTAAAGGGAAAACATACATCATGTATAGGTACATGTTGAACATGATAGAAGCAAAAATTTAATAAGATCATTCTTTATATACATTTTCAACGGTTTAATATGTGTGTTTATCCACTGAACATAATTACTAAAAAAAACTATACAAAACTGTATGGCACTGTGATTGTGATTTCTTTTGTAGTTTCACAAAAGTGCCAACTAATAATGTCTTAAACATAGTATTCCATTTGCCCTGTATAAATATTGTACAACACAAAATATTTAAATAAAAATTAAGTATATGAGCAAATATGTAACTTACATCTTAAAAACAACATTAAACACTATTATTTATAACTATATTGCACAAAACATTAAAATATAGTTGTTATGTAAAGAATTGTACATTCAGTAGGTTTATATAATGGAATTTTCACTTTGTTTACCCGCAACAAGAATTTTCTTTGATATTTATATTTGTTAACTAGCCTAAAACATCAATATTGTTTAAAACAAGTTCAACTTTGTTGCTGGGGTAAATACAGTGTCGTTCCAATAACAAAACAGTTGTAACAGATGAGGGATTGAATACACTCACTTAGCATATTACACGAAAATATTGCAAAAATCACAAGATGTGTTAAAATAGGAACAGTATAAAATCTCATCAATCCTTTCCTGTCTAAAGAAATTTAAACTTGTGATGATTTTGTAGTTAAAAATAATACGAAGATGGTCCATAAACTTGAAAAACAAAAGTTACTTTAGGCCTAACATATGTATTTCAAAATTTAAAGTCAATTCATAGAATGACTTATTTCATTAACCACTTTATTACAATTTAACTACAAATTCACTAAAAAGAATAACTATTCTAACATGTAGTGGATAATTCATTTAAATTCGATAAGTCTCAGCAAATACATTAAAAAGCAGCAGACTATCGATATTTTTCACACGAATTCTTATAAACATTTATTCGTTTTATGATATTTTGAGCGCACCAATCTAGTGATTATCTCGCGGTTTTTCGTTTGAACAAATCATTCGAGAAAAAAATATCGATACAATAGATGAAATGACCAAAATATGTGAAAATTAGATATAGTGATTACACATTATCCTTAAGTATATTCATATTAAGAGAGCTAAAAACATGTCAATAGTACGACTTAAATGTCAATATTAAAGTTCCAAAATTGTTTACATTTTTATGTACAAATCTCCCCTTTATTTCGCCTCAAGGTGCAACTAAAAGGGGCGTTTGTTCATCTTTGTCTTAAGCAACGTGCGACCTCTATCATTAAATCTTTGTAAACTATTACGTTAATCCTATGTACAAAATGATTGTTTCAAAAAAACAAGAATTATACCGAATGGTCAATTAAAATGGTCTCTGATTTTGAAACTAAGTTGGCAACAGTGTTGCTGGTGGTTATAGAAGTGTGGTTGGTACTCTATAAGAGTTATAACTTTGCTATAAAAATTGCCATGCATCAGTGCACTAATAAATAAGTACTGTAACCCTACTTAAACCTTAATAAGGCAGTAGTTTAAGACTTTTCAGGAAAACAAAGCAATAATTTACAAATATAAAATAATCCTCGCACCATTAATTCCTAGCCTAGAATGTTTAAATTTCTGATTGTAGTGTAATAAAGGAGAAACTTAAAATCTCAATAAATACTCTTGTTTTTATCTATAATCATTTGGCTAAGTAGTTATTTCTTATATCTTATAGTTAGGTTTGGTGTGCTGCAAAAGCTGCCACTTTCAGTTACAATACCAACCCTTCAATGGCAAGCCTAGAAATATATCATAGAAGGCAATCTATTCATTTATTCCATACAATGTAGCTCACTAGACACGATTGTGACTTAAAAAATCCACTAACATCTACTATACTACGCAAAAACAATGGAAAATCACTTGTTTCAAGCAATAATAAGTGTGGACATTATATGGAATAATAGGTTGGTAACATGTAATAATTGTGATAGAGAAAACTACACTATCTAATGTAAAAACAATAAGAATCAATAAAAAATATCAGAATCACACATCACCACAAATAGAATTCACAGTAAACATAGTTTATATATGAATGCTCGATGAAAGTTATGGCATAATGTCCTATTTATGTGAACTGAAGCCGAAAGCAGCGCCACCTGTGCCGCCACTGCGATGAAAATGAACATTTTGCCATTTGTTGTCTCTTTTATGCCACACACGACTTTCTTCCGATTGGTGAGTGTGCGCTTGGCCATGTCTGAGAATAATAATCACAATTATTATGAATTTTCTTCAAAAGTTTGCAACTTACTTGTCCATATATTGTGTTAATCTCACGTAAGCGATGCAAGCTGCGTCTTCGCCCAATAAGTGGACGTGAGGGTTCAAAATTGTGGTGTTTACAGCTTTGCAATTTTTTCCCAAAACTGAAAACAATCAAAAACATTGTAATTATTTCTCGAAAATAGTAAGACTCCGATTTTGAAATTGATCCATTTAAGGTTTTCTTACATTTCTAGTGTCTTAAAAACGCAAAAATCAGCATAAAACGTTATTGGGTAATAAATTTAAGAATAAGAAGTAGTAGTACCATACGATTTTGACCAAAAAAAATATTTTTTTTTTGTTAACAAATTTTTACTCTTTTTTAATTTGTTAATTGCAGCCAATGATGTAAAATGTAAATGTTGGCGTCAAGAAAACTGAAAAATTCTTAATAGTTTCGAAGTTATAGTCGTATTTAGATTTTCGATATTTTTCACTTTATCACAAATTTTCTCGATAACTATTTATCGTAGAACATTGATCTTTTTTTATATGATAGAAAATTTAATTTGCTTTCTAACGGTACCAAACATTAGAGGTTATTATCAATAAGTCCGGAGTTATTGGCAATAGACCGCTCCGGGTGCCAAAAATCGACCAAAATTTCGACGAATTACCTTAAAATTCATCCATATAACGTTTTTTACATTTATAGAGGTCTTAAACACTCAAAAAAATGCATAAAACGTTATTGGGTCAAGTTTAAAAAATTACGAATTTTTTGAGTTTTTCAAGGTGAGCGGTAGTAAAATCGTAAAATAATCAATTTCCTAAAAGTCGTAAAAACGGTTGAAATATGGTTTTCTAGACATAAAATTACGCGCTGAACACGATGCAACTAGTTAAAATACTCTACGATGCATAGTTTTTGAGATATTGAGTAATAAAGTCAAAAATAAGGGTAGAAATATCCGATTTTGACAAAAAAATCAAATTTTTTTTTAATTCTTATGAAAAACTAGTACTATATGTAAAATTAACCGGAGAATAAGCCTGTATAAACCGTTTTGACCTAGGACTCATAGTTTTTAAGATATGAATTTTTTTTTGAAAAAACTAAAAATGGCTCTGTACCCGGAYCCATAACCCGGAGCGACTTCCGGTTTGCGCCATTAGATAGATAATTTCAAGCTAATTATAATGGTTTTTTTAGCTTTATGCTCTAAGTCTTATAGTTTCGTAGAAAAAAGGCATTTAAAGTTTCATAATTTTGACAATTTTTAATTTTTGAATGACGATTACGGCCAAACTATTAGACTTAGAGCAAAAAGCTCCACTCCATCGTAAGCAGCGTAAAAAAATCTATTGATTAACACCCAAGCCAAGTCAATATCTCGCAAAAAAAATTGAATTTTTAAATAAAAACACTAGTTTTTAAAGGGGGTTAACAAATTTTTACTGTTTCTTATTTTGTAAATTGCAGCAAATCTGTACAAAAATGATATAATATTTTGACGTAAACCTATGTAAAATGTTCCGGGGAATCGATTGGCGTCAAGAAAACTGCAAAATTCCTAATAGTTTTGAAGTTATAATCGGATTAATATTTTTCATATTTTTGACTTTATCACAAATTTTCACAACTCACATCATCTAATCTGTTACCTGAAAATTTTGATTTTTAAGGAATTTTGTGAAAAGTTAAAAATTGAAAACTTTATTTCAAAAATGTATTATTTTCTGTAAGTTTATGAGTGTTTTTCAACATAAAACACAAAAAAAAAACTGTCATTTTTGCTTCTTTTGAGCATTTCTTTGCCCAAAAAAAGTGAAAAATTGCAAAATTAAATCTAAAAATGTATTATTTTTGTCCGTTTTTAAAAATTAAACGATATTTCACCGACAAAATAACTGAAATTGAAGAAATAAGTTACAAAATTAACCAAACACGGCAAAAAATTGCAAAATAGACCTGAAAAGCCATTTTTTTTCTCTTATTTTGATGGATTTAGCAAATTGACGCAAACATTTTAGAATACTTGTGATATTTTATTTTAATACCGACAATTCCGATCTAAATTCGCAACACTCACATCATCCAATATGTTACCTGAAAATTTTGATTTTTCAGGATTCAAGTCTTTTTTTTCGAAAGATATTTGTTTTTTTTTTAATGGAAAACGGTAGTGTTTTCCAAGCCAAGTCAACATCTCGCAAAAAAATTTGAATTTTTAAACAAAAACACTAGTTTTTAAAGGGAGTTAACAAATTTTTACTCTTTTTTATTTTGTAAATTGCAGCAAAACTGTACCCCAATGATATAATATTTTGACGTAAACCTATGTAAAATGTTCCGGGGAATTTTAATAATTCCTAATAGTTTGAAGTTATAGTCGGATTAATATTTTTCATATTTTTGACTCTATCACAAATTTTCTCGATAACTATTTATCGTAGAACACTGATCTTTTTTTATATGATAGAAAATTAAATTTACTTTCTAACGGTACCAAATATAAGAGGTTATTACCAATAAGTCCGGAGTTATTCGCATCCCCATTTAAAGTTTTTCACATTTCTAGAGGTTTTAAAGACTCAAAAAAGTGCATAAAACGTTATTAGTGAGTTTAAAAAATCACGAATTTTTTGAGAGCTTTTGAAGATGGGCGGTAGTGAAATCGTAAAAATAGTCAATTTATCTCAAGTCCTAAAAACACTTGAAAATAATCAAATTTAGTTACCTTGCATTATTATTGTGTATTTAGAGACTTAAATAAGTCCGTAAAATCACTGTTTTTGGAGTCGCATACAAAAAGTTAAGTGATTTTTCCTGCATTTTGCTTTAATTAAAACGACGCTTAAGTAAATGATAAACATTTTTAAAACTTTTAGTTAAAAAAATGATGATCAAAGGAAAGTTTATAATGATTCATGAGCCAAACTGTCTAATGCAAAAATATACAAGTTTGACATTGGCCGTTTTTAGAATAAAGCCAGTGTGTTTATTTATTCACCTTGTAACGACATTTTTTACGGGAATAATTAAAAGTGTGAAATTTCTAGACGATTCGCTATTTTTGTAGTAAGATTAAATGTAGATCGCAAACATTTACATCCGTATAAACTGAATGAATTAATTTGCAACAAAACAGTTTGAAATAAAAATACAAACCATTGTCAAAATAAAACTTGTGGAAATCCATGCCTTCAACCAGGTTTCCCATGGCTTCCGGTTCAAATGCAGTCAAATGTGGATCACATATTTTTCTGAAAAATGTTGCAAATGAATCGATTTTCTTCCCCAAAAATCGTTTTACTCACGTATAAGCTTCAAAATCTCCCGTATTAATCGCTTCAATAAGTTGTTCGGTCATTTTGATGATTTCTTGTCGTCGTGCTGCGAAAATAAAAAAATTTCAGAACAACGAATCAAGTTTTGCGAAACACCAGTGTAACAACCATCAAGACTAGAAGACGAACTACAAGGAGCACCAAGTACCACTGGTTTATACGTGGAAAGTACAGTTTATAGTAATTTCAAGTCATGCAGAGCTTTAAAAGTGTAGTTAGGCCAATGCATCGAAAATTCCTTGACAAGGAAATTTTCAACAGAACCAAACAGGTATGTTCCACATCCAATGATAGGGAAATGAGGTAGATTTTAGCGGTTTAGTTAGTAATAAGAGAATAATAAATTGTGAAAAAAGCATACCTGAACCTTGCGAATTTGTGGATAGTTGAGAATATGGCTTTTCGGGGCACACAATCCGTATTTCTACAATCGCAAATAAGCTCTGTTAGTACTGCTTTTGCAGCTTGCATGCACGAAAATGAGACAGATTCAATACAAACTGAAATAATCTGTCAACATTTTCTCAATGTTTCAGCAGCAAAAGCTAAAAAACTCGGTGTGCACACTATATTTTTTACCTCCTTGTACTAATTGCTGGGCTATAGTAATACAAAACTGGTTTTTATTATTGTGACACTAATTTTGCACAACAAAAACTACCTACACCAAAATTCAAAATGCTCTCACGAGATTTTTTACATTTTTTCTCTTACCGATTTCGCATGAATCGAGTCGCTGATAGGCCAAAACTGAATCTTCTATAATGTGCATGCGATTAAACCAAAAAATTAAATAAGAAAAATCCCACGAAAGCCCTGTTTTAGTTGTTGGTACATTTACCATCACCAGGGAAAAATTGGGCCAAAAGCGATTATTTTGTAAATAAAATCAAAAAAAAATACAAACCTGATTCTTCGGTTGGAAAACGGTTGTATCCAACTGTTGTTTCAACCCAGTGCTCAGTATCAACAGAATCCAAATCTAAAGTGTGCAAAAACATGCAGGCAAGCAATTAACACAAGATGCAAATATGAATAATATGATAATCGGGTCAAAGAGTTTATTTTCAACAACAAAAATTTAACTGAAGTCGAGAATTTTTAAAAATTTTGAAATTTGGTTCAAAAATGGATTATTTTCTGTGAGTTTAGGAGTTTTTTTCAACAA